CTCTCTCTCTCTCTCTCTCTCTCTCTCTCTCTCTCTCCTGTCTCTTCTCCCTTTCTCCCTGCCTCGTCTCCCTCCTTTCTCGTCTCCCTTTCTCCATACTTCATTCCCCAAACTTTTTTCTCATCCACCTCTCTCTCATTTGCCTCCTCTTTCTCTCCTTTCCCTTTCATCCCCCTCCCCCCCCCCCCCAAGCGCATTGTGCCGATCGTACAACTTATATAGTGGCATCGACCAGCTCTCGTGGGGGGTGGGGGGGGATGGAAGGGGGAGGGGGAGGAGGAGGAGGAAGGTGGAAGGTGAAAGAGGAAAGGGAGGGGAGAGGAAGTGGAGAGGGGGGGAAGAGGGAAGGAGGAATGGGAAAGGGAGGAGAGAGGAAGTGGAGAGGGGAGGAAGAGGGAAGGGGGAGGGGGAAAGGGAGGAGGGATGATGAAGGAGCAGGTAGGGGAAGAGGGAAGGAGGAGGGGGAAAGGGAGGGGAGAGGAAGTGGAGAGGGGGAGAAGGGGTGAGGAGGAAGAGAAAAGGGAGGGTAGAGGAAGTGGGGAGGGGGGGAAGAGGGAAGAAGGAATGGGAAAGGGAAGGGAGAGGAAGTGGGGAGGGGGGAAGGGGTGAGGAGGAGGGGGAAAGGGAAGAGGGAGGAAGTGGGGAGGGGGGGAGGGGTGAGGAGGGGGGGAAAGGGAGGAGGGAGGAAGTGGGGAGGGGGGAAGAGGGAAGGAGGAGGAAGAAAGAAGGAGAGAGGGAGGGGAGAGAATGAAGGAAGAGGAAGGGGGAAGAAGAAGGTAAGAGAGGAAAGGAGAGAGGGAGAAAGAAAGGAAAGGGGAGGAGGAAGATGGAGAAGAATAGAAACATGAGGAGGAGTAGGAGAAAGGAAAGACACAAACAAACAAACAAAAAAAACAAAACAAGGAAGGAGAAAAAGATAGATGAAGAGACCAAAAAAATAAGTATTAAAAAAAAACTACTTTAAGATACAGAAAACAGGGAAGAAAAAGATGGAAAATAAAACAAAAAAATAAAAAAAAAGCTGTCAAAGTGTTTTACAAAGTGTTTTACAAGTCAGATGTTTATGAAACGTATTCTATCGATCTCCAAGGTGTCTGTACATTACCCAGACACTTGTTATTACATCATATACGATTCTGACAAGTTATTCCTTTTTAAGAATATAAATATATTCATTAAGCTACGACGTTCACTTATCAAGTTCGTCGAAGGGGAAATTTTAAGTTTTAGACTGTGTTTGTTCATCTGTTCATTTGTTTACGTGACTTTTTTGGCGCGTGTTTTTATTTTTTGTTGTTGTTGTTTTTTAGCGTAATTGATTACTTTGCCCTCAGGATTTCGTTTAAAATTTACCTGACGTATTTTGATGTAGACGTATACGTATTGATTGCTCTTGCGATAGACACGAATTTGATATATTTCGGTGGTAATCTATCACGGATCAGTCTCTCGGCCAAGCGCAAAATTCCGGGAATATTCATAAAAGGAAGTGGCTTACTGAGTGGGTGACGGATGATTGAACTCGTGTTTGTGGTCACTAAAGCTTTTTTTTTCTTTTTTCGTTTTTTTTTTTTTTTTTTTTTGGGGGGGGGGGGCACCGGGTGGATAGGTAGGAATAGCTTAGTGCTCAGAAAAAAATGGGTCTGTTATCTACTTTTTTTTGTGGTGGACCTATGTGTTTTGAGATTTTTTTTTCTCTCGATATGTCTATTTCTTTGTCTGTTTGTTTGTCTCTCTCTCTCTCTCTCTTTCTCATTTTAGCGTTTTTATGTGAGTGCCTTTTTTGTTTTCCTCCAGCCTTCCTTCTCCTTTTCCTTATTATTATTATTATTATTATTAGAAAATATGAGACTTCGTATTATGATCATGTGGCCTTTGAATGCGACTTTTGTCTCTCTCTCTCTCTCTCTCTTTATATATGTGTGTGTGTGTGTGTGTGTGTGTGTGTGTGTGTGTGTGTGTGTGTGTGTGTGTGTGTGTGTGTGTGTGTGTGTGTGTACACACACACACACACACACACACACACACATATATATATATATATATATATATATATATATATATATATATATATATATATATATATATATATATATATATATAAATATATGCATATGCATATATATATATATATATATATATATATATATATATATATATATATATATATATATATATATATATATATATATATATATACATTTGTATGTATGTATGAATATGCACATTATCACACACTATCACTATCACTTTCATTATATGTACTGCTTATTTATCCACTTGCCTTCCAATAGCATAAAAATAATTACATTTTCTTCCACAGCATCCATACCCTCCCTTTTATATCTGTCTTTCTTTCCTCCGTGTTTTGAAAGAGGGGAAAAAAAGTCTCCAGACCAGGGCGTGAATCCATGTGTGGCTTTGAGAGGAAAAGGTGAAACCGAACTGGAATCAGACGGCATCACGGGTTTTTTTTAGTTATGTATATATATATATATATATATATATATATATATATATATATATATATATATATATATATATATATATATATATATATACATATGTGTGTGTGTGTGTGTGTGTGTGTGTGTGTGTGTGTGTGTGTGTGTATTCATATATATATATATATATATATATATATATATATATATATATATATATATATATATATATATA